TAACAAGCAGAGTAGGATAATGAGAAGTAAACCCAAATCTGAAAACACCTTCCCTGCATCCCTTCCTTCTTCCTGGGTTTAATTTTACTCCTGATTCCCTGTCTCTCTCCCCTCCCAACACTGTGGAAGGGGAATCGGGGGTTAGGATTAGTTCATCATCTGTTTTCTCTGACACTGTCTCCTTCTCTCCTGCTCCCAGTAGAAACAGTCTACCACAAAGACTGTGTACTCACTGCTGCAAGGTGAATCCTCGCCATGGGCTGCAGCTCCTCTCAGACTGCCCCGCCATGGGTCCCCTCCATGGGGTACAGTCAGTCCTTCAGGAACAGGCTGCTCAGCCCTGGATCCCCCATAGGGTCACTAATCCCGACGGCAGACCTGCTCCAGTGCGGGCTCATCTCTTCACAAGGCCACGGGTCCTGCCAGGAGCCAGCTCCAGCATGGGCTTCCCACACATTCGCAGCTTCCAGGCATCCATGTGCTCCAGTGTGGGGTCTTCCACAGGCCGCAGGTGGATCTCTGCCCCCCTGTTGACCTCCATAGGTTGCAGGGGCACAGCTGGCTCCCCACAGTTTCCACTGCAGGCTGCACAGGAATCTCAGCTTCGGTGCCTGGAGCAGCTCCTGCCCCTCCTTCTGCACTGACCTTGGCTCCTGCAGAGCTGTTCCTATCACATATTTTCATTCCTCTCTGGCTGAAATTTGCTTGTGCGCAATATCTTTTCTACCCTTCTTAGAAATGTCATCCCAGAGGTGCTACCAGTTCCACTGCTGGGCTTGGCCTTGGCCAGTGGAGGGTTCATCCTGGAGCTGGCTGGCATTTTCTCTATCAGACATGGAGCTGCTTCCAGAAGCTTCTCTCAGAAGTCACCCCTTAGTCCCTCCACTACCAAAAGCAGCCACACACACACACACCCAGTACAAGCATCTTACATCTCTGCTTGTAAGTTTTACTGCTACAAGGGATTAGTTGCAGAAGGAGGAAGAATGATGTGGAGAAAAGCCTACAAGGTAAGCATAATAGTAATCAAAAAGAAGCAATTTTTGAGGCAAAGAATTTATCTTTTGCCTCAATGCCCCAGATTCATGTCAGCTGATTTAAGGAATAGTAATATTATAGAAAACCCAGACTACAGATAAAGGGTCTTTTTCAAGTAATGCCACTGATTAAAATAAACTCCAGGCATTGTAGTTAACAGCTGTATTAATCCCTTTCTGCATCACTGTTCCTAATATAAATCAAACATCATACAGAAATAGCTTAGACTAATTATTGCTAATGATCTGAGCTGTTTGCCTGACTCCACTTATAATAGATTGGTGTTACAGTGAGAGGGAACCAATAACAAATTAGTTTAATTACACCATTCCATTATAACCTTTAAGAGACACATTTTGCTTTCTTAAGATTTCAATTATGTTGTACTATGCTGTATTATTGGAAAAAGAAAAATAATTATTGTAGTACAGAAACAAGAATTAAGTTTCGTTGACAAGTAAAGGATTTACTTTAGAAAGAGACACTGGGTTTGAGAAAAGTTTCCTGTGTGAATAACAGCAGGAGATCATTGCTTCAAGTTCAGCACAAGATTCCGTGTAGGAAAACTGCCTTTTTTCTTCTAATAGGAGAATTCTATAACCTTAAGTAGTTACTTAGTAGAACATGCTCAACACTTTACAGCACCTTGTAAGTGAAAATGAATCTTGCACACATGAAATTGCAGGCTTCAAGCATGTAACAGACATATAGTATGGCCATTTTTCTAGCACTCCTCTCTACTATCATGAAAATATATAATGATGCATAAAGACCCAGCCATCTCTTGCTTTCTCACAAATAAGAAAAAGAATTATGAAAAAACAGGGAGGCTTCAGAGCCAAAACATGATAAATAAAGTGAATTTGTTTAGAGAATAGCTTCCAAATTTATAATTAGAGGTATTCTGAGTTTTCAGTTCACGAAGTTACTGTTTTACATGGTGTAAATTAAGATATTTTTCCACGTGACTTCTTCACTGTTTCAGCATTGTGGGAAAGCTCCTTTAACTAACAGTTTTCAGGTTATCCTGCCTATGTTTTTATCACAAATGGGTAACTCTCCACTAGGCTGAGGAATATATACTTGCATACCACTTTTCTGCCTGGGGGCTGCCTGATTCTGCTTCCTGTTTGGCTTGCTTCCAACCTTCTGTTTTACCTTAAGTCAATACAAAGACCAGATGCTGCAGAATTCCTCCGGAATTGAGATAAGGTGAATATTTGCATCAACTTCCACCTATCAGCTGGCACACTGAAGCTGCAGTCACATATTTCGACCAAGATGAAAAAAAACAAACAAACCAACCCTCCAAAAACCTGTCTCAGAAGAGAGGATGTCTCCCTGTTTCTGAGAAAAAAAAAATGGGTTTATCTCTGTTCCACTATGGGCAGGCCATATTCTGCCAGTGAGCAGAAACTTTCCTCTGTATCTATAGAACAAGGGGTGCAAAATTCAGCTCTGGGATATTCTTCATTTCCTCACATAAACTTCAACAACAGAATAAAAAGAGTACAGCAAAGATGAGGTCAAAAACCATGAATGGCTTGAATGTTGACCAGGGCTTAAAGGGGGAAGCAGAAACTCAGTATTGTGTTCTCAGGTAATCACTCTGCATCTTATAGATGTGTCTTTACCAGAGTCTGTCACATATTCATGGCTGCCTTTGTCTCTTTGTCTCTTTTATTAGAGTTGATAGTTCAAGCAGAGCAATATGGAGAAAGTGCAGAAAACCACAAAGTTTGGACACAAACTGGAGTTATAATCAGGAAAAGCAGAAGAAAAAATATTATTTGTAAATACAAATGTGATGAGCTTCAAAAGAAGTTGTAAGCTGAAGAGGAGCATATTGACAATGTCCTAGCTGTCTCTTTTAAGATGAGGTTTTGTCTTTAATGTAAATGAAAAGAAGGAAAATTCAGCAAGAGCTAACTATGGAAAGCAAGGAAAGTCTAATAAATGCAAGTTCTAGTCCGGGAATCAGGCAGGAAAAGGGTGTGATGAAGAATTAGAATAGGAAATGTGACAGATAAGAGAATTCAGACTTTGTTTCCAGTATGAATTGTTTAGAAATAGGAGGGGTTGCCTCTGTAACCCTGAATTTTCATGGCTTGGATTTTTCATGCATTGTATTAATCAGTTTCCTCCAGCAAGTATCTGCAGTTCTGTCCTCTAGCAGACACCTTTGGGAAAGGGTCTCCATTTAGGCTAGTTCAAGGTTAGTTTATTTTACTCAACATAAGATTCCCCCAACTAATGTTTTATATATTGCTTATGGACTGCTCATTATAATTTTGGCTGAGATATGGAGGGGGAAAAAAAAGAGATACTCCTCTGATCTCAGGGAAGATGATCGTGTCTAGGAGAAATAACTCGGAAGAATTCATTATAGTACAAAATTACCTACATATTTCAGCTGAGATCCATGTCCTCGTGAGCAACTTGCTATTTGCATAGTTGACCTGCAGGTTAGACCTGCTCAGACAGTAGCATGTTTGTGCACTTCCCATTACCAAAACACTTTCTAGGTTTTACAGTTATTACAGCGTTCACATACTCACTTTACCTTTTTCCTCATCCCTGACTGGTTCCAAGTTTGTATATACTTTTGCCTGGTTCACTCAATGTGGAGAGACAATATTCCAAATTGCACGCAACAATTGTTGATTTCACGTGCACACAAACACACGGAGGTCTTCATATACTTGTGAGACTGGAGCACAGCCCCTCTTAAGGTATTTCCATTAGTTAAACACTGTAAATATTCCTGAATTTATATGCATTTAAAAGTTGCTAAGGCAGTTGTTATTGAGGGTATAATTTCTACTGACACCTTTGGGAGTTTTAAAGTCCAGACAGGCTGAAAGCTCAGCCTTTAGTCTGCATTTTTTTGCTGTGTATCTCACCAACAGCTGAAACTTTGCAAGGACGTAAATGTATGTGCATAGGTCATTTGGTAAAGCAAGTAGGGGTTAAACCTTGAAAATATTTTCAAGCTGCATGAAAACAAGACCAACAGAATTTTGGTAAGGTATTTGCCTTAATTGGAAAGGCTTAGAATAAATGATCATATGATTAAAAAAAGCAAGGATTGCCTGCTATTTGTTGTAACCCCTATTTCTGTAGTGCCCCTGTAGCCAGAGAAGCAGCTGTTCATTGCTGACATTCTCCCTGCCAGGCATTCCAACTCTCTGAGGTAATGGGCTACAAGCATACGGGCCTTCGCTTTAATTCTTTCAGCGTATCCTTCCGCATGGATAGAGCGAGGGGAACGCCTCCAGGAAAAGAAATTAAATGCACACACACAGAGGCACACAGGGACGGCCGATTTGAAAATATTCCTGAGAACGCAATTTGCGCTCATGCGGCACAGCGTCACATGAAAGAGGCCGCCTGAAGAGCTGGCTGGCACAGGTTTATTTTGTTGTAGTATTTTCTTCCACCCCCCAGCTCTTTACCCAGTGGAATGATATCCAGAGCAAGTTTTTCGAGACAGGAAGTGAGGAATGTTTTCACTATGAGTGATCTGAGAAGAAGGTGGGTTAGCCGAGCTAGCAGCTGTTTGGGACAAGAGGAGCACAGTAAGTCAGCTCCCGAGGAATACAGATGAGATGGCTCCGGCACAAGAAGCCTTGGAGCGCTGGGGGCTGTTTTCGGCTACACGTATGTGAAAGGAGACCCGGTGTCTTCGGATCGCTGTGCAAGGTAAGGGGAAAACAGCGGGCACAGCAAAAACATAGCGGCTGATCGTCTCTGCTGTGTACCGTAAAACTGAAGAGTTTCAACAGTTACTTTTTGAAAAGCAAATGGGTGAAATGGTTGTGGGACTGTGCTTCTGGAGGTGGGCGAAGTTTGAGATATGCCCTTACTACTGCTCTCAGTCCAAGAGTTATGTCAAAGATTAATTGGTAATACAAGGAGAGGGTGGAGTATTTTGATTACTTTTTTGGCTGCCCAAATATCTCTAAAATAAAAATATGTGTATTTCGAGAATGTGAAGTAATAGGAACCCTTTTTCACCACGCTATATTGCAGTTTTATTTTGATTATTGTCATTTATGCAGGCTGTTTAAAAATATTTGTAAAGTAAAATGCTAATAATTGAGGGGGGAGTGGGAGGTGAAAGTAAAGGAGAAAGATACAACAGTGCTCAGTAATCACACATTAGTCATGGCCATGTTGCTGAAATTCTAATATAGCATTTTTGAAACGACAGGTTTCTGTTCAAATATAAAGGTACAAAGTTTGGCCACTAAAGACGTTTTTAGCTGTTGCAAGAAAATTCCAGGCTTGGTAAATAAAGGCTTGTTATTGTAAAGGTCATCAGATGGATTTGTAACTCCTGGCAGTATGTAGCCATGAGTTTTGGCTAAAGTAGCTTAAAACAATGCAGGTAGGTCTGAATTTAAAGTAATTCAGCACGCAAATTTGAGAGCACCTAGGACTGCAGAATACTCACAAGCTGAATAAAACCAGCGCAGCTATGTTTGCAAGAAGTACACACGGCTAGCAGTAGAAGATGCTGAATGATACCTTGGTGTTATTCAGCAAACTTGCCTTAATTCTACAATATGTATTATATGTTAGGATCTTTTTTTAGTTGGTCTTTTGTGATGTGGCTGGAAGTTAATTACTGTAGTTTTTCTTTGTATAAATGAGTTTTAGAAGTCATGAAGATTATGTCAGGCGTACAAAAATGAAATAATTTAGGGTAAATGCTCAGTGAAGCATTTAATGTAAACAACAGATCATAACCTGGAGAATGTTCCTGGCTGGCACATTCTGTAAATTCTGCTCTAAACTTCCTTCCTATGTTTGCATAGCTACCTGTTTGCATAGTGAAATAAGCGAAAGTCTGAGACTGCCTCATGTCAGCATTAGATGGTTTGGAAATTTCACCTCTCAGGTTAGCCTCTGGTTAGTGATTTTCGGTTTTGTTTTGTTTTTTCCATGCTATTAGAATAATCCTTGATATGGGCATAAAGATTGAAAGTCTTTCATACTCATTGGTACTTCATAAAACCTGAGGTTGAAACACTTCTGTGTTTCTGACGGTAGTTTTCAGAGAGGAGTAAATTGGTTTCTCTCATTGCTGTAGCACCAAACAAGACACCTAATTGTGCAAAGAATGTATTGGAAAATGGACTTCGGGGATGTGAGCTAAGGTCAGCCAGCTAAAAGTTACTCTGTCAGGAATAAACCCAGTGCAAGATTCTGCTGGCAGTGGACAGCGGACTAAAAGCTTCTGTCTGTAGAGCATTCCTTGCATGCTGTTCAAGCAGGGCTGGATTTGGAGGATCAAAGTGCAGAGGGAATAATAAAGTGAGGATTCCCTCTGTATCCCTAAATTTTCAGGGAAATCTGTTGTTATCTGTTGTTACTTATTCTACAGCTACACTCAAAAATAAATTTGTTGGTGTTTGGGTGAGGCTTGTTTCTCCATTCAGCTAAGATTTTCAGGTGGTATCTGTTGAGGATAGGGATTGTGTCGAATGATAGAACTGCTTCAAGATTATCACAAACGAGGTCATGAAATATGCTTCTGGTCATTCTTTGGAGTAGGGTTGCAAAGATGTCATTGAGAAAAAATGCCATGCTGCCTCCTCTTTCTCCCCATTGCAGGCCTTTAATGTCTTTCCACCTTCGTTCCTTTGCTGTGCTGCTGGCTGGGGAGTAGGGAGTCTGATACGGGATTTTTAGCCCAAAGAGTTTGTGCTTATGTTGGATAAGTTTCTAGGTGGGTGTATCCACGTCCAGGGAGAATGTGGTATCGGTTTGTTTACAGCTATACTTTGAGTTTAAAAGCAGGTGTGCTAGGAAGACTACTTCTTCCGGTTCCTCCATTCCAAAGAAATGCATATCCTCACGTTCCTCCCGTCTGGTCATCCTGAGAGTCCTCAGAAATCAAATTGTGCCTTTTAATATGTGCTACTAATACATGGCAGCCTGGAAAAAATAAAGTCGAAGAAGAAACGTAGGCGTTTGTTTTCTTTCCCGTTCGGTCGGGGCGGCACCGCCGGGGCAGAGCTCCTGCCCGCCGCAGCGGGGGCGAGCGGCAGCGGCGCTGGCCGGGCGGCTCTGCCTGGCCCGGGCCGGCTCCGGGGTCGCTGCCGCCGCCGCCCCGCACAGCCCAGCCCAGCCCAGCCCAGGGCAGAGCAGCCTCACCGAGGGAATCTCTAAGGCGCCCTCCAGCCCAGACCTTTCCGTGACGCTGTGACAAATTTCACAGAGCAGGGTGCGTGCGCTACGAAAGCGCTTGGAAAAGGAGGAAGGCAAAGCGTGGAATGGAGTTGACAGGAGAGGAGGCGTGAAGGTGTTTGCAGAAGGTGGGGAGATGAGTGGCTACCTGTAATCTGGGTATGAGTATGTTTTTCAAGGAAAAAATAGAAAATAAATAGTTCTCAGAATTCACATACTCTCTCGGTGAGGTAAAGCATAACCTGAAGCATCATACAGCAGTTTAGCATAAGGAATAATGGTAGGATGGGCTGTAATCCATGGAAGATGAGAGGAATTGCACTTTAATTGTCTGGTAGGAAATGGCTAAGGTGTGATTTTTAATACCTCCCTTGCCTTTCTTTCCCCCCCCCCTTTATCATATATGGGGCTTGGTTTTGTGTTTAAAACAACAGCAGATAGTGACTGAGGCTGCACAATGCTCTGAAAAGCCAGGTTGCTGGATTTGCTCTTAAAGAAAATGTCTTTGTTTAGTATTACAAATACCTTAGGCAACTCAGATTTAAGAGATATATTTAGTTTAAATACTGATTCAATTTATAAATACTTATTTTAAGACATTGCAGTCACACCTGATTAAGACTAATTATTCACTTGTGATTTAAAAAAAAAAAAAAGATCAACTTGCCAAAACCCAGTATCGTCTGTGGAAAAACCAGAAACTCTGGTACTTATTTCATTATTTGAATACCTAACAGCCTGCATTTTGGAAAGGTAGACTGATTATTTAATTTAGAAAAAATATACATGTTATTTTTCCCATGTTACCATTCCTCTTTCAGTCAAAGTATTTCTGATTCTTGTACTTCTTCTCTTTCTCTTTTGTTCCTAGGACTCCAGTGGATGTCTCTTCTCCTTGTCTCTTGGTGGAAAACTTGCTTGGCTTTAATGGATACTGCTGCTGCTGCTGCTGGTTGATCTCTGGAGACTTTACAGCTCCTTACCTTTTGAGAGGAGGTGATTTCTCATCACTTCTCAAGGTCTCAGTGGTAGTAGCTCTTTATCACTAACCATCACTGGGGGAAAAAGAAGATGCCTCTACCTTTTGGGTTAAAATTGAAACGAACTCGACGTTACACAGTGTCCAGCAAGAGTTGCTTGGTGGCTCGTATCCAGCTGCTCAACAATGAATTTGTGGAGTTCACACTGTCAGTGGAAAGCACGGGCCAGGAAAGTCTGGAAGCAGTGGCTCAGAGGCTTGAATTGCGGGAGGTGAGTTGTCAAGCGAAGGCATAACTTTAGTTTTTGGCGCTAGTTGACCTATGTGGTAAATCCTTGCCATGTAGGGTAATCAGCTACGGGAGCAGCTATCCCGTGTTCCCATTGTTATTTCACCTTCTGGTTTTTATGGGGACTTGGATTGCTCCGAAACAGTTGCAAAAGTTGTTACAGAGTTTAGGGAATCTCCAAGGGGAGGAAATGGGAGAAGTGTTGGTGAGTAAAAGCTTAGAATGATGAACAAAGCAATGTTTTTTTAAATGTGACAGTGCTGAAAATTCTGCTTAAAAAAAAAACACAAAGGAAGAAAATAATTTCTACCTAAGCAACATGGTTAAAAACTACAGCAAGACTTGAGTCATAAGACAGTGTGTTATTTGTGTGCATGTATTTTTTTTTCTGATGGATTAGTGCTGTGAAATCCTAAAGCACAAAATGTGATAAGTGTACCAGTGACCAACCATTTTCTTGCTTGTTTAAATGCCACCTATATTTGCAGACACTGTCTTGGAGCTCATATATAGTCAGATTGATGGAGTGCTGGCCTTATGATGAGACTTGGTTTGTGCTAGTTGAATATATAAGTATCTGTTCAACCTGACCTTTTCCCCCAAAATCTCCTTACTTGGTATTTTGAAGGATTCTTTTGAAACTGAAATTTTCTCCTCCACACATTTAGTGATTATTCCTACATTTCCTGTGTTGAGTGAATTCCTTCTGAAATGCTAAGCTTTGAAATGCTAATGGAAATCTACATAGCTGACCAACATAGGAACCAATGTCATTATTTTATAAAGTTGTTGAGCACAGGTGGTTTGAATGCATTATTTGAATGCATTCAATCCTGAGTAAACTGACATTTCCCCCTAGAGTCTGATTTAGTTTAGTTGATTCTGGAGTCACTGAACTGTGGCAGCATGTGCACTTCTGGGGGGCAGGAGAGAGAAAACTAGTGATACAAGTTTAGTGTTGCTAACATTGTTCTGAAAAACGTGCTGTTGTTCTGTTATTTAGTCTGCCACAGAATGAGCTTTTGATTATGGGTTTCAAATACAGGATGAAAACCCTGGACTTAGGTAACCAAAATATGAGTAATTGTGCAAATAATAATAAATATTTGCATTTATAACTATGATATTTTAAAATATTATCTTTTTATTGTCAAGCATTGGTAACTTTGCTCAAATATTGAGCAAATATATTTAGAACTCAATCCTACAAACATGTATTACATTTATTATAGCATTCATTACTGTAGGATTCCTCAGTGGGAAATGATATACATAGTCATTTGTTTTCAAAAATGCTTTTTATTTTTTCTGTTTAAAGAATAATAAAAAAGGAAATCGATGTGAAGCCATTAATCCATAAGGGTTTGTTTATTGTGGTTATTTTCAATTGTAAAGTCTCCAAGTATTTTTTTAGTTATTTTGAAAATGCAATTTTTTGTAAGGGTATGCCTTCTTTTTCAAATCTTTCTCCTTCTAGTAAAAGGAGAGTCTAGTTACTCTTGTACCCTAGTGTTTACTTAGAACACATCAGATTTCATATATTTAGAATTCAATTGGTGTGTGAATGGAGTTTGTCAATTTCATCTGTCCACTTCCAGATGTAACTTCTAAGTCACAGAAAGTATAGAATTTTTACTGTTTGCAAAATGCAAAGGCCTTGTCTTCCTGAATGGTGACTGCTAGCTTCTATTGAACTACTCACAGAGTGTTGGAGATGCAGGATTTTTTTCAGCCATTCTTCATTATCTCTCTTTGGAACCACTCCTAAAAATCTTTATAAAAACAAAACAAAAACAAACAAAAAAACCCAAACAAAAAAAACCCCCAAACCAAAACCAACCAACCAAAAACCCCCCCAAAAACCACCCAACCCAAAAACCAAAAAAACTCCAGACAAACAAAAAAAGAGAGCAATAGATGCAATTCCCTCAATTAGGAGTCATATATCAGAATAAGGGAGTTGACAGTACACTATTGAACTCTGAGCAGATTCCTTCAGTCATGCATTCTTGCATGGATTATTTTGGCAGGAAAATGTGTTGCAATAAAAGGGAATGGAAAATAGGGATATAAATTACTTTCCAGAGCTTGCATTCAAGAAAAGTTGTTCTGCCTTTAAATAGTCTGATTTGCCAAGCAGATACTGGATCATTCCTGATGGCTTGCTTAGTAGCAAGTTTTCAGAAAGAAAAATGTGTTCAGCACTTTTCTTCAATCTGCAAAAACAACTTTAGACTTTGATACAGTAAAATACAAAGTATTTCTTGCATATTTTTAGTGCACTGAGCAGCCTTAAAGCATGAAGTTGAATTCCAAGTGTTAAACATGAAAGTATGACTGTTTATTTGAATACTGAGACTCGGGACCATTCTTAAATCCAAGCTATCAGTTTCAGATTACTGTATATGGCCTAAGCAGCTAGGACAAGCAGTTCCCAAGCATCTTCAAAACAGTTTATCACATGAGGCATTGGGAGAATCTCTGCCTTTTTTTACACATTCAGTGGTAACATTTGTAAATACCTCTTTCTCTCTGGTGTAGTCTGGAATTACTGAATTTGGACAGTGAAGTGTACTCTTTTCAATGGTGTGTCATATTTTAAGATACTGGTTTCAACAAATCTTTATATAAATGAGTAATCTTCAAATTATGCATTGCATGGCTAAACATTGTATTTATTTTGATTTTCATATTAGTACTTCTCAATTTCCAAGTTGTATACTAGTATGGACACATAGTTAACATTTAGGAAGATTTACATATGTTGACAATTTTTTCTCTTTTTTTTTCTGAATGATAAACTTTATAGAAAAGTGAAATTAATTCACTAAACTGAGTATTTTCTGGTATTCCTAGAATGTGACTCATCAGGAATGAGTGTGTAATCCAGATCTTTTAAACTGAGGAACGGGGGAAAGAAGCCAAAGGGAACAGTGAACATAAGTTATTTATCCTTTGTAGCACTGTCTGTCTTTTAGCCTGTGAGATAACTATAACCAAACACGATTTATGCAAAAAAACTTGCAAAAAACCCATTCTGGAATCACAAGTTTTGAAAACCTGCCGAGAGCTCTGCTGGTTAACTACTTTAAAAAGTACATACAACAGTGCTAATCTTGCATCTAGGGCATGAGTGTGCAAATGAAACAGTTGAAAATATAGCATTGAAATATAGCTAGGTATATTAGCTAGCTAGGTTTGGCAGAAGATGTAACTGGTGTCTTTCTCTTGTTGATTTGTTGTTGTTTTCTAATAGTACTTCTAAACCAGAGAGAAGGGGCAAATTCTGCTGCTGTGTACAAGCAGAGTCTGACTTAACTGCAGATCTGTGGTAGAGTAAAAGTATGAGAACCAATGGAAGGAAACTTCTGTGGAGTGTATGTGCTGTTGAAGTTCCTGTGTTTGTTTTGGGCATGCAGAGGAAAGGGAAATAAAGTTTTCTGGATCCTGAATAACTTCAAAGTTCTGAAACAGTGCTTTGGAAATGCTTGAACTATGCTGTAAAACTTTGCTCTGAATTCTAAAAAATCAGTTCTCTTTTGGAGAAAAGACAAAAAAATACCTTTAATTCATTGTGGTGGTTTCTTAAATGTGTTTTGCATATGAAAACAGTGTTTTTAAAATCAGACCAAGTGCAACCATAAATATTCTTACGTCTATAAGTATCAGTAACCATATTGACAGACAAATAAGAGCTGGGCTACGTCATGACAGAGGGATCATTAACATAATTGTGTTTATGTCTTGTTTCAAAGTCTGACAGCATTTTAGCTGATGCTTGCAGAAATAAGAGAAGCAGTTCATGTAGTTGAACTGCTGTGGTTGCCTCTCTGAACCAAATTTTCCTTATAATTAGGAAAGGAGAATTTGACATGGAGGAATGTATATAAGAATACAGATCTTCCATGTGTAATCTGATTAGCTTAAAAGATGCTGCTTTATTGAAAAGCAAATTTGAATCCATCTAAAACAAATATTAGTGATAAGAGTGTGATAATTGTAATTTAGGAACCAAGACAAATTGAAGGACAGAACAGTCAGGCAAGAATCAGTAACTGCCTCAGTTCAATTATTGTAGTTCTTCCTTTCCCTGAAGAAAAGAAGATATATATTCAGGTAAAGGGTTTGCCCTCAGTCTTATTATACTGAGCAGCGCAAAATTAAGGTTTTTCCATGAAAACAGTAGTGGCAATTAGGAAGCCTTGCCCCTGATTTCTTTACCATTTTTATAAATTTAAGTCAGAATTTGAATATATCACTTAATTGCATTTTGTTTACCATCGTGTCAGTGAATTGCTGTACAGTTTTATACCAATTTTGACAGAAGAGGTTTTCTTTACTTCTGAAGCAAAGGCATTAGCTTATTGTTTAGTATTTTTAGACTGCTTTGAAATTTGGCTTTTCCCCTTAGTAAACCAATCAGAGCTTAAGCCCCTGATGAATGGGAACATGACGCTTCTTCTAATGTCAGTGATGTGTAAGGTGGAAATCAAAAGCATTTACGTGAGTTCATCCTTCTCAGAGTCTTGAACAGTTGTGGGAAAAAGTAACATGATTTTTTTCAAAATAAGTATATTTCTACATTTCTGGATCATGTTGATAACTGACCTATCTCTGCTAGAGGTTAAAATATATCTTTGATATAATGTTTTCTTTGCACTATGAAGGTATGGCTCTTTAGCTTGTAAATTAGTCATCTTACCTTTGTCAAATGTCCTGATGAGTATAATCTTCCTTGCCCGTTAGTAGATTGTTTATTCAAGATATTTGAAGGGTGTGAAACACAGAGTACTGAGATTTGTACAGCGTTACAGTGTTTCAATACATCAGATTATAGATATATTATATATATATATTGATTTGCTTATTTATTTCTTATCCCTTCTGTTTTGCTTTAAACTATAGTTGGCAATTACTTCGTTTAAATAGTGTTTGTGAAATCCATATTAGAGTAGTTAGGAGGAAATTGTGTGTGTAAGTGTT